GACCTGCGAGGAGTCCCGATGGGAGGCTGAGGAAGGGAAAAGAAGCAGCGAGGAAGAAGAGGTCATAAACAAATCCCACACACATCACAGCAAATCCTCATGCGTGCAAATATGAAAAAGATGCAGAGCATGAAAACATTTCATGTTTTAGTCCAATAAATGATCACTTTGACTGAGTTATTATGAACTGGATGTTGAGTTGGACGTGTGCTTACCATTCCATCGTCGTCATCGCGGGGGGAGTAGGTCAGAGTGCTCGAGGAGGAAGGAGTCCGTCTGTGCTGCTTGTAAGTGCTGGAGCCTTCTGCTGAAAAAAGAAAGGGAATACTCAGAGGAAAGAGCACTACAGTAAAACAAAACTTCAGTGACGTCAAGCAAACACGCAGTGGTGTGTTAATTATGTGTCACCTTTAGCTCCAGCAGCTGAGAAAGTTGGAGCGAATGAGGCCTCCATCCTGCTCTGCAGGGAAGAAAGATGCACAGATGGAATAGCTCAGAGTCAAAGTTTATTTTAAAATAAAACAAAAGCTGTGATGGGAACACATTGCATATCATGAGTGCAATGAATACTAATCCTGCTACATGATTCAAATTTCTGCAAGTGTCTCTCACCCCGTTGCCAGAGTCTGCTGAGGGGCTGGAGGGGCTGCTGGGGATGGTTGCTGTGCTAGCTATCGCTGCTCCTCCGGAGTATCGGTTGTATCGAGGAGTCTTACCACTGCTCATAACCCAAAGCACACACTCAGAATATGTGAGGAAAGACTGTCAGGTAGCTGGACTGCTAGGCCTAGGAAGAGGTAAAAGGACAAGAAGGGTATTAGCGTGACACATACTGTAAAAACGATATCAGTTGGTAGGGTTATTTCCCTCCGACCAGAACTACAGAAGTCCGAGTAAAAACAGCTTAAGCACGTAATGGTTGCTTTAAGTTAGAGTTGTGTTTTAACACAGAACAAAAAAAAAAATAGAAGCCACATGCCCACAGTTGGCTCGAGGAATGCCAGCAACTGGCAGAAGCTACAGCACAGCTTTAATCGACATGAGAGGCAACGCAGTGAAAAAGAAACGACACAGTGGAGTTACTGTTGTTAAGGCGACGTTTGACCTACTTTACTGGCCTTAAACACAACAACACAATCAAACATAATTATTTCAATTCACAGAAAAGATGACGTTTGTGAAGAAATTTCATGTTTTAGTCTGTT